GAAATATCACCACCAGGGTGAAGTTTCTCTGGTTTGAAAATTAATTAGTGTATATCTTCCTCTCCTTATCAAAGGGGGCCGATGTAAAGGATACAAGCGCGAGCGACTAGCCCTAGTAGGGGCTCCTACTGCAAAACATGAACAACGATGTTATCGCGGTAACCGCGGCAACTAAATCAAGGAGTTGAAGGGTCGGTTGTTACTTGCGATTGTTTGCTCTTCTTTGCTCTTCACTGCTATTTATTAGATCGGTTGCCACGCCGTGATTGAAAGGCACGATGCACGAGTTTCTGTGATCGCTGTTGGTTCATCGCTGTGAACGCGAAACCGACGACTCAGCGTGGGTTCGAAACTGCCCAGCATCGAAAACGTGTTGTTTTTGTAACCTTGCGGTTATACTTTACCTTCAGATTTCTACACACGGTTGTGCGAACCATGGTAGAAAATACAAATCAAAATGGTACAAATCGTGACTTTAAGCATAATGTAAATCGTGATATGCAAAAATAAACATGTTTTATTGCGATGATTTAAATCAAACCTTTCTTAAAAACAAAATTCCGATTATTTTTATTACCCTTTGTTTGTGACTTGATGGTTTTCATGCGCATTTATTCTGAATTTAATTTTTAAAAACATAATCGAAATAAGGTATTTCTCTGAGCAAATTGTACAGGTGAGCTTTGGTTCTACCTTCGACTTCATTCGCTCAGTTCCGTGGTCTCCTGTGCAAGCAAATTAATATGCGAATAGAGAAAACACACTCAAAAAGTGTGCGTACACGCACAAGCACGCAGACTGGTAAAGAGGGAAAGAGGGGGAAACGAAGAGAGAGAGAGATAGAAAGAGGGACCGATAGAGTCACAGAAAGGCCGACCGAGTTATAAACCTTAGGGTGATTTTGCATCCTCCAGTATATTTCTTGCTTCTTACACGAGCTTGCGGCTTCTCTTTTAAAGAACACAAGCAAAGAAACAAAAAGGCCGATTCTTTTTTTGTCTTGTACAGCCTGGATTGGGAAAGGAAGTCATAAAACAAATTTACAGCGAACAAGAAACGCCCCAGGTTTTGTCGCGCAACCGAAATCTCGGTTGCAGGGCGCGCCTTTTCAGTAAGAGGCCTCCGTCAGGTTGCGAACACTTAGGACGGGATTAAAACCTGCCCAATGGAGACTCGTAGGCCAGAGCTTAGCCTCAAAGCCACCGAGACCCTTTTTATATGTAATTTCTGCTAAAAAGTTACCGAGACGGCTATAAAACAAAATATAATCGCACCATTCCTACAAGCCATAGTGTGATTGCGAAAATATTTTCTGCAGTTGATAAGAGAAAAAAAAATTGAAGTTGCAAACACGGTGGAACTGCCCAACCGCCGGTATCCCTTTCAACGATGCACAGTGGAACGTGCGCAAAAGCACCTGTGTTTCGCTCGCAGCCTCGCGCTATAGCGCGAGGCTGCGATGTAAAATGTGAAATTCGATGCAAGATGTAAATGTAATGCGATGTAAATGTAAAATGTAAAATTCGCGGTAGATGTAAGATGTAAATGTAAAATGCGATGCGATGTAAATGTAAAATGCGATGTAAGATCTCTGGCTCGCTCACTGCGGGCCTCCAGGCATCTCACGCTCGCACATGCAATGCCATTTCTCTCACGTGGCGTTCAAAGCGGCACATGACGACAAATGCAAATCAAGCTATTCTTGAAGACGTGTCGCCAACTGTATTTGATATTAAAAACTGACAATTGCCATAACTGGATGGGAAATGTTTTAGATTGAATAGTGAACTTCACGTGTAATTTGTCGATATGTAGTTTCTGTAAAATGTAATATCAAGAGATGCTTTGTAATTTAAATGTCTCGTTACTTTGTTTAGTTGACGTGATTGCGTTTTATAGCACGATTTAGAACTTTATTTTTTAGTTAAAAATATACATTCTCTGTAGAGTTCATTGCTTACACTTTTAATTCAATACATCCAACATACCGTTCACGTAAATTATCGTGAACCTCGGGACGTTATAAATCGAGAGAAAATTTCTATCAATATGATACATAATCTAATGAAAGCTAAATAATAAACTAAAAAATAAAAATAAACGTAATATCGACACATTAAAATGTAGTAAAAAAATCACCTATTTAATTTAACAGAAATTTTATGACTGTACAATAAATAAAGTTATACACCGTCAAAAAAAAAAAAAAGCAAAACAACCTGCACGGTGGGGTTGCTCGATGAGCCTGCTCAGTAAAGATATGTGAATTTCTATTCATGGTGGAAGTGCCCAAATGAACAAATCGCATAAATATAACAAAAGGCACATTAAAAAAATAAGAACCTTCTTTTGTTAAAAAGTTTGTCATTGCGAAAAATTCGTTATCTACAAACTGTTGTAGTTGTCTTCAAAGAATTTGCGTTCATACTGTACACGTACTTCGTAACGTTACACATAAAAGGCATCATTTCATTTCTAATTTTTAGCTCTGCTTGGCCAATCAAGACATTCATCAAGGCAGACTAGATATCGGAATCAATTGGCCAATTCCTGAGCAAGTAACAAAGTCCTAGAGTTTACTGAAATAAAATGCGGGTATTGGACAAGGAAATTTACCTACATTTTAACATATCAACAACTCAAGCCAGAGACTCAAAACAAAAAACGGTTCGGTTGCGGTTACGGTAATTGTAACAAGTATCAAATCAATTTCTTTTCAGTTTTTAGGAAATGTGGGTGTTACTTAGCAAAGAAACTTATTGTGTTTTTATAGAGAAAAACCGACAGTTTTTTAGTGATTCCTATATTCCAAATATCTGTTATGGCTTAACTTCACCTTACCACAAGGTTAATTTATGTTCAAAATCAAAAAGAAAAACATGCAGCTGAAATCTAGTAAACCTAATGCTCGTTAAGCACATATTCGAACTGAACCGTGTTCCTACTTAGAACGATTTCGGGAGTTAGAGAGCTTAATGAGCATGGCTTTTGAATTGGTCCAGCAGGGAATCAACCCATCCACTACACCTCCGTTGACCGAATAAACTAAACTACTTTAAATAATTTTGGAAAATTGAGAAAATTGTGTCTTGTAAAATAAATAAATGGACATCATTTTTCATAAAGATACACGTTGAGTATTTTCTTTTTAATTTGGAAAGTAGTCCGCTTTAATCAAAGTAAGGTACAAAACACACGTACCGATTAGTATTTTTATTGGTTCCGAATTGGAACACAGCGCGCAAACGGCGAGGACCCATTGTAATCGAAGGACGTAGGACAGGGGCTGACTTTCAACTGGTACATTTAATGGAAACAAACACAACCAACCGCGGTAAACAACTCAGTCATGGTCTATCAGCGCACGTCAAGGAAGGAAATATCTTTCCAATGCAAATGAACCGATGTTTGGCTGACATATCGGTCCTCCCCTTCTTGTTTGATGGCGTTTGCTATTAGAATGTTTGATAGCAACGACTGGGAAGTGATCAAAGGAAGTCATTTTCAATATGGTCTCTTGGTGTCTGAGTTGCTTCTGGCACATAAAAAAAAGAAGAAAAGATGAACACGCAGAACCCTTGAGCTATGCATATTTTGCTCCTGCATTTTCTAAACAATGAGGGCATCGTTGGCGCAGCACGTGTTCAGCGGTGTCCATCGGTTGGTATCCTAGGGGCACCAGAAGCGGTTCTATAGCCAGCACTCATTAAACTCGTGAAATTATTCTTAGTACATGAGTGTTTTTTAGCGGTTTCACAAGCGAAGAGAGATATTCAGTGGTAGGAGGTGGAAATACAAATTTGTTACAACTCCGATTGTCACCAATATGTCGACAAGATAGTGTATACCTATTTACTAGGTAATTACTAATAACATTGGAGCAAATTACACTGAATTAATTCCTTTTTATCTGGTTTCACAATAGGGACTTTTAGCAAACGGTTACCCTGTTCCGCGTACCGTACTACCGGAGCCTTTGAAGCATGCTTTTAAGCGCGCCCCCGGGTGATACCGTGACCGCGGGGCACGCGCTTAAAAGCATGCTTCAAAGGCTCACGTGTTGCGGTACGCGGAACAAGGTGACGGTTTGCTTAAAGTCCCTAAATGTCTCAATAGGCGGGGCAATTGTTTTGAAGGACAAGCACATTCATATTTATAGTCAGAACAGAAATAGCACAGAATCTTCGTCTCCAAAACTTGCGATTGAAATTAATGCGAAATTCTATTCCTCGTGCTTTAAAACCTCCAGAATATCCTTACAGGCGCACACTATCGGAGAAACATCATTAAGACACAAAATTATGTAGCAAATATTATCACCACACTTTTCCCGGAGTTACATCATAACCCTCTGCATGCCTAATTTTAACTTCGGCATTTTTATTTTTAATGATTGTTTGCTTTACGTCGATAAGTTACATAGCCATCTCAATGAAAATTAAATTTTAGATGTTGAGGGACTTTTTTTTTTTCATTGTTTCGTTAAAAATGGCTAGTTTTTCTCTCGATTAATTTTGTCTTATTTCTGTTAGTCTGTTAAATGGCTCGTGAAACGAAAAAGAAATGCTTTTTTTTAACAGTCAGGTTGAAACACGCGTAACAAAAAATTAATTTTACGCGAAAAAGAAATTTTATAGCAATATTCACGCCACGAGATTTATTTTAAATTTTGCGCGCAATGTCCATGCCGTTACTGAATGCTCATACACACTTTCCACCTCAACGTGATGGTCATACTTTCGCTACCTCAGCGTGACGGCCAAGTTATCCACCTCTTTTCTAAGCGCCCGAAACGCCGAGTGAAAACAAGTGGAAAGGAGGTGACTACAGCTAAATCGTGTCATGCGTTGTCAATATTGCTGTAAAAAAAATTGTTTTGTAAAATTAGTTTTTTGACACGCGTGTCCTACCCAGACATTTTTAAAGAAAGTTATTTTAGGTTGTTGTTTTATTAAGAAATGTGTTTTCTTAAGTGTTTCTGGCTAGGAGGAGGAGTTTGGTGAAACTGTATAGATATGTTTATTTGCGTGCTTTTCTATTCCACATGAGATAAATGAAAAATATAAAATTGAAGTTCACTTCTACTGCCGTTGCTTAAGCACACGTCTCACCACGCACAACACGATCAACCCTCAGGCCGCACCGCAATCACCGTCATCGTGGTCACTGAATTAGTCACCTGCGACCCTAATCACATCGTAGAGGTCCTTCCTGTGGTGATTCATGATTGGCATCTGCTTCCTCACCGTCGACAGGTGATCCAAGTCCACTTCGCCCATCAGCACTGCCTCCTCGGTTCCCGCCGACTGGACCACCTTGCCCAGAGGATCCACCAACATGCTGTGTCCCCACGGAACATACGGTGTACGTTCGCTTCTAGCCGGAGACGCCAAAGCGACGTACACCTGACTATCCACTGCCCTAGACCTCTGGTGTAACTCTTGGTAGATGGGACCGACGATCGTGTTAAACGCGGAAGGAAACACCAGCAGCTTGCAACCGAGTTGCTCGTAGATGTGCGTCAGAGGAGCGAAGTGGATGTCGTAGCACACGCCAACGCCGACTTTGCAGAACGGAGTGTCGAAGGTGGTCAGTCTGTTCCCTGGCGATACTAGGCTTGCCTCACGGAAAGTCATCACTCCAGGAATGTCGATGTCGACTAGATGCAGCTTCCGGTGCTTGGCGACCACACTGCCGTCGGGGCCATAGACGAGACAGGTGTTGTATCTTCGACCCTTACCGTCGACTTCGGTCATGGAACCGCCTATAAGGTACACGCCGTTCTCCCTCGCGGACTGGGACAGCATCTCGCTCGTCTCGCCGGGAATGGTCTCCGCGGAGGCCTTAAAGCCTCGACCGCCGATGGGGTAACCGAAGCAAGCTGGAAGGCATACCATGTGGGCACCGCTGGTCGCAGCCTCCTTGATTTTCAGACTCGCGGCTCGGAGGTTTTCCGACTTGTTTAGCGTCGTAGCGAGTTGTAGAAGGGCCAGGCGAAATGTATTTGTTGCCATGATGTTTTCGAGTGGAGACCGGGAAACTGACTCGCTTTTCCAGCTATAGTGAATTCATTAACTACAAAAAGAACGGCGCACGAAGCATATCCGTCGGAAAACACAGGTGTTCCGCTGACTGGAGGACCCTTACAGCTTTGACGTGGAAGCTCAGGGCAGCGATATGCAGAGCTTCCGCTCGGTGTACAAAAACATACTCTTTTCTCTTGTTTTTTTGTGTTTTTTTTTGTGTTCATATAAAAAAATACATATTGTATATAGCTTAGTGCCCTTATTGGCTAGAATACCTCGAAGTCTACTACTGCTGTCAATATAAGTTAGAATGCCACGACGCGTGCGGCGCGCGGTACTATCAGAGCCTCCTGTCGTATACTGCTCGGTCAACTGTGACACGTGTTGAAGGCCAACTCCCCTGCTGCACCTGTTGCCCTTGTTATGCTTCCGGTTAGTCCGCTGTGCGCCGTTTCCATTTAGGTTCAACCAGAGCCGTATATTGGGTTCGACCGCAGCAGACACTAAGTTCCCATGAAGCCTCGGGCAGCGGCAAAATCGCGTCGTCACCGCGCTCATTGTCTTTGCGGGATGGCTATCACCAGCTGGACCAATCGCGCACAGAGGAAAAAAAAAGCGCATTATTGAGGCGCATTCGCTGCGCGCGGTTGTTTGCTTTAGTCGGTGATTGGAAAACGCGCAAAGGCAATAAACGCTGTGACGGCGCTTTTTCTTTTTTTTTTGCCTTGGCGAAACTTGGCGAGAAAGTCGGCGGTTACAAACGTCGCCGACTCTCGTGGCTTGCGAGCCCCGCAACTGCAATCATCAAAGCGCACCTTCTTGGGATATAGTTGCCGCTTCATTGTAGTAGATAAAAGCGAAAGAGGTATTGACCTTTCCATCGCTTATCACTCGACCGAAAAATGCTGAGTAACTGAGCTGTGGATGCAAATGTAGCGTCTGATATATACCGCACAGCAGAGCTATACAGCGCATGCTCGAAAGGCGTTCCACAGCCCAGCAGACAAAGATGGCAGCGCGGAAAAGCCGATTTTGCAAAGGTGTATAAAACGAACAAGTGGAAGAATGATGCACACCACGGAGCACACTTACAAAGTTGACTAAAGAAAATAAAAAAAGGAACATATACATCGTGTGGGCAACCTGGTGATCCCCAGCAATTCCACCAGGTTGGTCTCGCAAAAAAATCGTCTCTGGTCATTTCAGCCAAAAGAGTGGTGTACCGCCTCTAATAAAAAATAATAAAAAAAAGAAAAAGCTGGTACAGAGTTTGCACCAGAAACTTTTTGAATCCCAACAAAAACGCCGCTGACAAAAAAAAAAAAAAAGCGCTACAGAGATTGCGTTAGGGGCTTTCTGGGTCGCGGCTAGAGCGCGATGAGTCAATAAATGACTATACGTGTTGTTGAACCAGCGTTGCGTCGTGTCATACTCCGAGGCGGGCAGCAACAAGGGAAATCCTACACTGGTGCCCAACGTGGGGCCCGAATCCACGACCCCGGAATTAAGAAGCTCGTGTTCTACCGATTAAGATAAAAAAAGAAGAAAGAAAAACATCTGACTTAAGCAGCGCCAATAGTCTACGTCTTATCAACGTTACCTTAGCTCGACGATTACATACCAACCTATGACGCAGCGCCACTTAGATGCTTTCCGCTATGAAATTGAACATACGAATTGGTCTGTTATTTTTGAAGGTCCATCGGTAGATGATGCTTATAATTCTTTTTTGGACTTATATATTCGAATATATGGCAAATATTTTCCATTTAGAACCGTAAAACCCTCCAAAAACTCTAGCAAACCTTGGGTTACACCTAAACTTCTCCACTATGATTCGCACGAAAAACCACTTATATGGTCAGTTTTTAAAATCTAGGGAAACCTCGAAACTTGAGATTTTTCTGAAATATAGAAACAAACTAACAAGCATGCTGCGACAAGCGAAGGAAGATTATTACATTAATATGTTTAATATCGATGATATACGTCAAAGTGACGTGATGTGGCAAAGACTCAAAACATTGCTTAATTACAAACCACAGGTTTTTATGCCAGTTGAAATTAACATAGATGGTTGTATAATATCGGGGACGGATATGGTGAATGCTTTTAATAACTATTTTGTAAATCATAATACATCTCCTGTTTCTACTACTACTGTAAATAATGCAATTCAGTGCATGCCTTCACCCTTGCCTAATACTATATTTCTTTTTCCTACTGATGTATCCGAAGTCTATAGTATATTTATGAGCCTAAACAATAGTAGAAGTATTGATGCATACAATATACAAATAAAACCAACAAAGTATGTTCTTGATATCCTAGCACCATACCTAACTTATATATTCAATCTTGCACTCGAGTCCGGTGAGTTTCCTATCAAAATGCAGATTGCCAAAGTTAGTGTACTACATAAAGGTGGTGATTTAAATAATATTAACAATTCTAGACCAATTTCCATACTCCCAGTATTTTCTAAGCCACTCGAAAAAATAGTTTCAAATAGAATTGTCTCTCATCTTGAGAAATACCTTTTAATTACAAATTCTCAATTTGGTTTCCGTAAAAGTTATTCCACTGAGTTATCATTATTAAAACAAAAAGAAATAATATTAAAAGCATTAGATAATCACTTATTAACAGTCGGTATATATTTAGATTTCTCTAAGGCCTTCGACGAAATAAATCACAATGTCCTTATAGCAAAATTAGAATACTATGGCATTCGTGGGAAAACATTAAGTTTGTTACAATCTTACTTACAGAATCGTACCCAGTTCGTGTCGATATTTAACTTTAAATCTGATATTTCAAAAACAACAAATGGTGTACCCCAAGGCAGCATTTTAGGCCCCCTACTTTTTATTCTTTATATTAACGATATTGTGAATGTAAACCGTGATCTTAAAGTTGAGTTCATTATATATGCTGATGACACTAGCATCTTCTTTTTCGATAAAGATATCCGTACTCTAGTAACTAAATGTAATATCGTTATTGATCGTGTAGATAAATGGACAAAAAATAATCACCTTAAGTTAAATTCGCAAAAAACCAAAGCCATTTTATTTAAAAGTCAACATGCTACAGTTATAATCCGAAACCCACTGATTTTAAATTGAACAATGAAGAAATTGAATTTGTCGACACTATTAAGACTTTGGGTGTTTGGTTTACAAATAGTATGTCTTGGAATAAACATGTTGATAATCTTTCGTCTAAATTGTCAAAAACACTGGGGTTGCTCACAAAGTTTAAATCATTGCTACCTCGTTGTGTTGAGCTCCAACTTTACAATGCTTAAGTATATTCCCAACTTAATTATTGTCATCTAGTTTGGGGAAATACAACAAAAACAAATATAAATAAACTACATATTTTGCAAAAAAAAGCTGTGCGTGCTATTGCCAATGTTTCATACTATGATCATACTGAACACTTGTTCTCATTTGTTTAATATAAAACCAGTTTCAAATATTTACAGGTTCCGACTTCTTGTGGCGTACAAGAAGTCTACGCAGTTTAAAAATAAAGTTTTTGAGGAATTATGTAACCTAGTCCTTTTCACTTCCTCATATCAACTCCGCCCTAAAGAAAAATGGTTTGTTTCGTCATCACATACAGTATATTATAACCACACGCTAAATTACCAATTAAGTACTTTATTAAATGAATTATTTTTAAAAGGTGTTGATATTCATGCAATGACGCTGGCAGAGGTACGAGCACTATTTTAGGGTTGTTTTTTTAGGTACGGCTAAGGCAATTCGGATCACTGTACCATTGTATACCACAATGAATGTATTAATTTTATTTTTTCTCTTGTTTTTGTTTGATCTATCGTATGTACATTTAAAATAGTGTTCTTTCTTTCAATGTATCTATTTTGTTCGTTTTTGAAATTGCTTAGGAATCGCATGCTGTAAAGGGGGCCAGGACCTCCGTCAAGCTGCTGCAGCAGCTTTTTTTCTTGGTCCCCCGTTTCAGTGATGAAACAAAATAGAGATTTATTATATTATAATCCACAGTGAGCGATTTTAAATATGTCCCCTCGGGTGAGCGCTAACACATGTGCAATTCGTCACGCTTCATTACAAACGAACGCCTCGGATATCTCCGTCATCTTTCTGCTCTCGGTGTTCTGAGTCGAGACAATGGTGCTGCCAAACTTCGGTACACAATTAAAATTGTTGCATTGTATTGTCAAATTACCCGAGGGCGGCGATTTGAGCAAGAGATGGTGTTCCCTGGTCTCTCATATATACCATGGCGGCCCGATCTGGCCTATGTATACCCCGTCACAAAAGAAAATAATCTTATACACCACCCCTTCGCAGCACTCAATACACATTGTCATGTATTTCTTCTGACATGGCCTATAACGTCCCTCCCTTCGGCCGAATATTTCTGTCAGCTTCTAGGCCTCTCCCGTGTTCGTTATTTTGAGCAAATAAAGATTAAGATTACAAATCGGCGCACATAAACGTCGTGGTCTGATTGTCTCGGATTCCTCAAAGCGTTGCGTTTATTGGTGTTTCCTTTTCGCTGGGTACACACGAGCAAACAAAATGACATTTCAACCGGATGCTCGCTTGCGCATCCGGCAAAAAGCGGTATCCTCAATTTTTCTTGTTTATGTTCGACATCGCGGTTTTATTTCTTTCTTTTATAAAACGTTGTTGTGTTTTTTTCACAGAATCTGCGCGTGTGCAAGGGAGAAATACAGAGAGGTAAAAATGTGTGCGTGGTGGAGTGTGCAGCAGTGGCTCGGAGCCGATAACCTTAAAAAAAAAATATCTAAAAAGAAAAAGAAATCAAGCAGTCTTGTTGGGAGAAGCGTGTAAAAAGAAAAATTTTATGCGGAAAAAAAATATAGAGAAATATTGACAGCGAAAGATTTATTTGAAATTCTGCGCGCGAAGTTCATGACGTCACGGGTCATTGCGGAATGACCATCTGGGTCGTGAAGGCGAAACCGATTCACCTCTCCTCCACGCGCCCGAAATGCCGAGAGAGAAAACAAGTGGAAAGGAGATGACTACCGACTAAAGCGCGTCTCGCGCCGTCAATATTGCTATATAAATTATTTTCTTCGCGGAAAATTAATTTTTGACACGCCTGTCCCAACCAAACCGTTAAAAAAAAAATTTTTTTTTTCTTTTTAGGGGCCCTTTAAGCAACACCGAATGCTTTTCTTGAAGCGTAGTCTTCACGGCTTGAGTCACTAACAACTTATTAGGAAACGATTTTGAAGCCACACCAGTACTAGCTTAGCAGAAGTCCAGGTACGGAGGTGAAATTCTGGAGGCGCTCAAGATACGACATTTCGCAACAAAAAAAAAAAAAATAAAGAAATATCGGCTCCCGATCTCTTCATCAGGTCAGACAGTTACAAAGAAC